GTGGGTTGGGGAAGACATGGTTTTTTTTTTTTTTTATTTTTTTTTAACCTGTCTTTAATTAATTATTTTAAGGTAATTTATTATTTTTTAAATGCATAGAAAATTTATTTTTTTTGCCACGTGGTAGAAATTTATCAGACACGTCAGCACAAATGTGGCTCTCATATTTGCTACGTTATCACTTAACAAATTTTCTAACGGATGTATGAAATTTAAAGGTTTTAAAGATATTGTATGAGATTGCAATCGCCCAAACTTAAGGAAGTAAAATGTAATTTAGCCATAAAAATTTGTCATGTCATGATTTGTCTTCTCACTTTCTTTGAAAAAAGCTAAACCAAGACATGGTTCTCATGAAGGAGAATGACTTGCACGCTGGGCTGTGGTGCCATATGCAAATGAAACATGTCTAAGTTTTTTTGTCCATAAATTTTAGTTTTAATAGCACAAAACGTCACGTGTTATTGTACTTTGTCATGTAAGTTGTTGTCTTCATACAGACGTAAACTCTAGCTTAATGCATTTTTTTAATTTGAAACAAGGAATTTAGTATGATATTGAATAACACGCCTAACATTGAAACAGCTCACCCACGTCTAAAGCTCAATTCCTGGTCCAACAAAAAAAATATATATAACGCCCTCATATAAGTCGCACCCAAATAAAAATAGATTCACCTCCCCTGTATAAGTACTAAAGCCAAACCATAAAACATAAAAAATTAACAAAATAATATCATTAGATGCATCTAAATTATAAAAGAAAGATATTCAAATTCGAGTGCAGAGAATGAAGTATACAACTAATTTACGTATGTAAACTCAGATCTCCTACGTTGCCTCCGTTTGAAAATAAAAAATTCATTTAGCAAAAACCCTTCCCCCACCCAAGGAGAAAAAAATTGTCGGTGCAGATAAATATAAATTGTTAATAGAATATTTTGTTATTATTATAGTCAACCTTTGACTCCCTCTCCCCCAACAATATTTGGAATTTCTTTGACAATCGATATTTTTGTGAAAATATAAAAAAGTATAGAGAAAGATATGAAAATGGGGGTTAAAGTCTAAACTTCCCTTATATAAGATAATTTCTTAAATTTCAGTTAAAATCGACAAACTTATATGATATTTCCCATATATCGAAGAAACTTTTATATTTCGTCAAAATTAGTGTTTGATATTTTCAAAAATTTCATTTTCTATTATTTCATCCAAAGCAATCGATGTCAATATTGATATAGATATATTTATCGATATTCCTACTAATATCGATTTTTTTTAAACACTGCCCTCAACTATATATCCCGCATTCCCAGAGTCTGAAATTTCTAGAGTCCGAGTTTCTACCTATGCATCCTAGAATCCGAAATTTCACTTTCCCTAAACTAATTTAATAGAAATCTTAAGGAGTGTGTGTTGGAAATGTGCCCTAAAACCAATCATATGATGATACTTTACGGACATTTCAAACTAATGTAGTTCATTTCAAACTAATGTAGTTTAAATGTAAAGGGCAAAGATTATTGTTTGAGCCGTCTAATATAAATGTTATATGCTTAAACGATAAGTCCAAGGAATATGTGATTGGAAGAATGCGATCTAAAGAAGTTAGATTCATGAGACCATTCTTTCGTTGACACATCCTAAACGTTCCTGATCATAGGATTGTCAATTGGGCATTGACAGTCCGTTAAGATCAGTACGTGCTATGTCTTCTCTCAGGGAGAGTGACTAGTCTCGAGTCATTGGTGTGTGTGACATCAAGACAAGTACGTAGGTGCTCAATAGAGAATGAGTTCACTGAACACGATCAACGAAGAGTTCTCATATTCATGTCACATGAGAACTCATGGTTGGGATAATGCAAATTAGTCTTTTGACCTGAGGCATCACAGTTGTCTTGTGGTTAGGTCCTTAATCTTTGATTATGTCAAAGTCACTCTATCAGGGTGTCCACGGCATCGTTGGGGTTAAGCCACTTAGCCATGGAGGCAAGTGAATGCGCAACAAGGGATCTCTAACCTTCAAACTGTTTGAGGGAGAATACTCTATGATATGATTTAGAATCTCTGGCCAGAGTATGAATGAGATGTTGGAATGCGTTCCAGATCACATTCAAGGTAATCATATAAGTACAAGATTCACATTGGATAGTAGACATGAATAAACTATCAAACCAAACAATGTGGTCAAGAGTATTGTATTAGAGAAAGACCGTATTGCATTTGTAATCCTAAACTGAATAGGTTCTCCACCTCTTTTGATTAGCTTGGGTAACCATGACATGCTGCTAGGCGTCAACCATGGTTTGTGGAAGCCCTAAAAGTGTATTATCACTAACGGGAGAATTGAAAGTAAGTTTCAATTCACAATCGATTAGAAAGAGTTTTAATCGCCCACTGCCTCGCTAAAAGGAACCTAATGGATCGTTCACCGAGTAAGGTAGAGTTTGAAGAAACAACGGAGATGAGTAAGAATAATTAAATGGTTTAATTATTTATCTAAGGCTAGGATTAATTAATATGTTAATTAATCAAACGAATAAGTTCGTTAAAGACCTCGGGTTAGTTTTGGGCCGCAAGGCCCAATGTGATTTGAATGTCAAGCCCATTAACTCAAGTTGTATGACAACTTGAATAAAACAAAGGGCTTGAAAGCCCAATAAACCTATAGGCTAGCCATGTGTAAAAGAATAGGGCTTTTGGTCCATTAGGTCACTTATTTGAAGAGACTATATAAAGGACTTTATAGCCTAAAATTTACTAAGGGTTATTTTTGGGGGAAAGGATGAGAACACAAGCTCTCCTTTCTCTCTAAAGTTTTGGCCAACCTTGGAGGGATCATCTAGCAATCAAACTCCTCCAAGGTCACTCATTTCTTCTTCATTATGCCTTGGTGATGAATAATTAGAGGTTCTCAATTTTGGGAACTTGGAGAAACCTTTTCATCCATCCAAATCCATGGATCCAAGATGCAAGGAATGAAGGCCCTCTCTTTGGGTGATTAGCCTTTGCTTATGCAAAGAGAAATCTACAAAGGTATTGATTTCTCAACTCACTTTGTTTTGAGTTGAGTCTTGATTCACCTATCTACTAGGCTTTGAATTTCATGGGTAAATGTTTTGTTTTAAGTGCATACAAGCATGATTCCGCCTTTAATTGTTAATTGCATGCTATTGATGTTGCTTAAATGAACATGTTTTTCACAAATTTTCCTTCAGTGTGATGCTTTCTTTATTCGCTGACGATGATTCAAATGGGATTATACGTGGTTCAACTCCATAACTTCCACCTTCATTGTACACAATGTACAATGTTACCTTTCTTCTACATCGACCTTCTCTTCCCCTCTCATATTAGAATGTAATCTGATAATCACAACAGTCTATTTTCTAAATTATCTTTTTGAAAGAAATACATTCTCGAAACATTGTTTAGACATAAAACTGTCATCATAAAAATAGACGAACATATTCTCTTGATTACACATCGAATAGTCATGATGAAATCAACTGACATAACTTAATCGATTTTTCAAAGAATGATGATTGGAAAATGACCGTTTCGATCTTTGCATAAGAGACTACGTAATACAATCCGGAATCCACTAGTCAACTAGAAACCCCTTGGGTTCGTGGCTTCATGGTCTTAGCTTATATTGGGCCATATTGTTAGTACTATCAAGATGGGCATTGCCCCAATAAGCAAATGTGATAAATTAGTAATTTTCACATTCTCATTTTTATTTTCACGTATTTTTATCGTGCATGAGAAGGGAGAGGGAAGTGCAAAAATCTCTTCCCTACCATTTATAACCCAAACCCCATTTTTCCTAACAACAAATAAAAATTAACCGATGATGCTTAATTTTAGTGGTAGAAAGCAATTATGCTTATACATTTTGGTGCGGGGTTTGTCGCCACTGATCCTCATTTCTCTAACAACTAACAATTTAATTCATTGAAATTAATGTTTGTAAAATAAAAATCAACGAATAAATTATCTAATGAGTTGGTTTTATGGAAAATATTATTGTCTACGTGGTGTCTTTGACGATTAATTTTAAGGAAAATAACTACATAAGTTTAATTAAGGTATTTTCCTTAAAAAGTAAAGGATAGTACAATGTATTTTATCTCGTCAATAAATATGGAATTGTAATGTGTTTTACCAGATTAGATTAACCAAAATATCACACGAATTTGTAAAAAATTTATAACTCAATCAATTAAAACCGTATTCATGCACTAAATTCTGCATTCGAACTTCTCATTCTCTAACATTGTTGGCATAAAAAATAAAAAAAAATCACACCATCTAATTCTAAGAAGAGAATCATAATAATTTTTAGCCTATTATGAGATTAAACTTAGTGCAGATAATATTGTTTGTTTAAAAAAAAAAAATCCATGAAGTGAATCATAATAATTTTCAGATAAATACTAACGAGTCTCTCTAAAAGTGTGACTCTCCATAAAATTTCTTTCACCTTATGTTTTTAGAGCAATATTTTGTTATATTAGCACAGAAATTTGCCAAAAACATAACAAAAAATCTATAAAAAGTTCCACTTTAAGAGAGCTTCCCTAACGTTTCTCTTATTTTTAATCTCTCTCCCTTTAAGGAGTCCTAAACCCTTAAGGAAAAAATAAAAGGAAAACTAATGAAAATGACTTGAAAATTTTGAGTTTTAAATATTAATGATAAGGACAAAATAAAAATAAACTGAATAGTACCAGAATTGACTTTTTAGTATAAAAATATGATTTTTTGTTAAAATAAACAGTACCGTAGGTTTTTTTTTTTTTTTTTTTTGTTAAAACTCTCCAAAATAAAAGAATCCTTAACCTAGTTGCTCAAGCATCCTCCTAATTCATATTCCTACTCCTTCCAAATATAAAAATCCAAAAAAAAAAAAAAAGGTGAATAAAGTGGCCAAAGGGCCATGTCAAACAGTCAAAGGGCAGATAAGAAGTAGCGCATTCTCGCGCGTCTTGCCAAATAGGCCGTCATAATTGAAACCTGCAAAATTAGGATAACCACAAGACAAACAATTAGCTGTCTCTCACCATTCCCGACGCTTCCCGAAATCCCCCATTCAACCTCCTTTATATAACACCACCAACGCATACACACCCCCCTCCCGCACTCGTTAAGCGACGCCGCATCGCCTCTCTTCCTCCCCGCTTCAGAAATTAGGGTTTCAAGTTCCCAAATCTGTGTAAATCGGACCGGTAAATTTACGAATTTGTACGAAGGATTTTGTGTAAATTTGAAGCGTTTTTTTTGAGATTTGAGACTATGAGAATGAATTTGAAGCGGTCGAGGAAATCGAACTCCGTATCTTGGGCTTCTGGAGCCGATCTTCGTCAGGTATAATCGCCGATTCTTTTGAAAGCTTTGTTCTTTCTTTCGATTCGATTTTTTTTTTTTTTTTTTTTTTTCTGTTTGGCGACTGAGAAAATACGCCATCGATCAGTTTTCTTTCCCTTTGATTATTTCCCCAGATTTAATTAATATAAACTATGACTCTTAAATATATGATTGATTGAAGCTTGCTTCCCGTTGTTAATTTTTAATTATCGTATTACTTGTTTGGATTAATTTCTAATTGGATTAAGATTTGGGTACCAATTTAAAACCATCACCAGAAACTCATTGGACCAAAAAAAGAAATTTATTATTGGATAAAAGCTTGGATTAATGAAAATATCAAGGCCCAATATCCAAATCTTGTAAAAGATTTAAAACAAGATGTTAAAAATCAACAGAGTTATACCGTTAATCAACGGATTTAGAACAAGATTCATCATAATTATAGCATGATTCACTAGAATTAAGTTGAATTCGTTGCTACGAAATCTATCTCGCTGGAATTGTTTAAATAGGCGAATGATCGTTGTGAAATTGTACTGCTGTTTGGTATGTTTAAGATCAACAGAAATTCTAAGTAGGATCATCATAGTTATTACAAGAATCAACAGGATTAAATCCTATTTGATTGCTCTGATGTCTATAATTTATGAGGTCACATGGTCTTACCGTACACAACGCGTAATACTGTTACGTGGTGTTACAATCGGTGCATGTACATTTGTTAAAACTTTATGCTAAAGTAACCCGTAGCCCACCACGTGTTATAATTTGGGTGGATTGGTTAACCAAACAGTGAGTTTATACACGCTTGGTCCACATGGTAGGCGATGGTATAAACATTAGGTATCATATATAATGTTTTATGATGGATGATTTGTAACTTCTTGTGGCGGTATTATGGTCACATTTGAAAATTTCTCAAAAATGTGTAACTAGGTAAACCTAATCTAAGATCAACAAGAGTCACACGACGTACTGTTGAAAGTTTAAAACTTCAGATCCCTTGAAGTTGGGTGAGAGTACTGTGTGCTTGTCGCTTCAAGTGGCATAAGCCTATTTTTGGAGGGGCGCACCTCTGTGGGTGCCCCTTAAAAAAAATAAAAAGAAAAAAAAGAGTTAGAAATCTCTGATTACGGAAATATTGTCGCGATTAATAGTACGCTCAAGGTTTTGAAGAGCGAATTAATAGTTCGGTTAGTGAACTTTTGCAGAAAACGAATTTTGATTACCATCAAACAATCTACATCATCTAAATCTAGAGAGACTGTTGGAATCAACTCTTTGCTAACAGTTACGAAAACATCAACAAACGGGGGTTAAGGTGTTTAGGTTTTAGGGTTATAATACCATCCAAAGGAAAGAATGGTTTCTTTTAGCTTCTGATTGGGGTTCAATGCATACCAGTAGAAAGTTTGATGAATGTGGCAACTTAGATGTTGAAAGCAAGAACATGTGATCTGTAAACGAAAATGGTCAGTGAAAACATGTAAACTTTCATGATCAGACAGGTATTACCTTGATGCTTGAATTCCAAGATGGGGGCTGGCTTGAAGTTTGCAGCACATTCCTAAAGTAGAATGTATAAATAAATGCTTAACCGTCGTTTCAACGTTTTCCTGCTATCGGATGCGTTTCAAGTTTTTTAATGTGATCCTGTATACATTATTTTCTTCGTGTCAAAATTTGTCTTTCTAATATTTTGTGGGAAATGTTACTGAGTGTTTTCATTCATATGTTTGTTGTGACTAACTCAAGTTTTCCGTTGAATAGGTAAAGCTGTTCTCTTCTGAAGATTATCCTGTCGCTGTTGGTGTGAAATATCAAAAGCATCTTCAACCAAAAGCGTCATATATGTCGCGGTCGGTTCCTACGGAACATGTTTCCCCCCCTGGGTTTGAACGGCCTGTTTCTGTGAGCCAAACAAAAGTGGAGCTACCCCCCATTCCTCGGATTCGATGGAAATGCCCTTCCAAGGTGAGTAGGCGTTAGATATTTTCTAATTTTTTTTTTTATTGAAGTATGCATGTGATGAGAATATCTGGTCTTTAGTCTGAGTCGAACTCTTCATTTTAATGGTGTTACGTTTATTTTATTTGAACAGTTTGTCGTGAATGACGCCTGGCAAGTAGCAGCTGGTGAGGAAAGTGAGGAAGTCAAGGCTCAAAAGTTGAGAGGGATGAGAGTGCTCGAAGCAGGTTATCCTCGTCTTTCTGCAATTCCCCCAAAGTAAGCATTCTATCTTGTATCTCGACGTATGTTTCATAGTCTTTTTGTTCTTTTACATAATTGAACCTGATCATTTTTCTGTATTGTACAGCCCCTCTGTTTCTTTGGATGTAAAAGCTGCGCGTTATGACGATAGCCTCACTCCTTCAGTCCCCCTTATTCCAATTGAAGAAATGGAAGAAGAGTCCCAGGATTTACCATCATCTGATATGGAATTGGATTCCGATGTAGAATGTCGGCCACCAGCCTTGCCTCAAGGTCAGTCGGCATCTCGGGGTCCAGCTTCAAAATGCAATCCTCCTCAGCAAATTGCCGGTGATCAACCTTCACTAGAAAACTCACCTAGTCAAAATGCCGATGTGACTGCTGCTGCTTCAGTCGCATTGACTGCAATCTTGAAAAGCGCTGAGAAGGGAAGTTTGATTGATACTGATTTGCTCATCAAAATCCTAAATGACCCGAAAATGATCCAGAAATTGATTAACGAACCTGGATCGCTGGCCCATGCAGAAGTTGCACCAACGAACTGTTTCGCTGCGCCGATGTCAAAGACGACAACTCCATCAGTTCCCTCATCTCTTCCAAAATCTGATATGCTAACAACTGCAGGTGGAAAATTCTTCCCTATGGCAGGTATTATGAATGCTATCTCTCTTCAACCAGGTAATGTTCAAACGTCCGGGTTGAACCAACCCGCACCATCACCACCTGTGTCCGTCCCCCAGTCCAACTTTGGCATGCTACCTAGGCAGCCAAATCAAACTCAAGCACAAACCCCCACTTTAGGTGCAATGACGTATCCCAACAGAGCTCAACCACCGGCGTTCCTCGTCAAGGAAGCGCCGCTCCCGCCCGCGAAGAATATGAACTACTATAAGAACCTCATCATGCAACATGGAGTGGAAAAGCAAGAAATCCAGGACCCTTTTATTGCACAAAAACAAATTGGTAACAAATTTAATCTCTTGAAAGACGTGAAAATGGTTCAAAACTTTAAACCCGGACAAAAGAAACCGAAGAATCTGAAACAATGCAAGTACTTTACTGGCTCCAACGGATGCCGTAACGGCGTTAATTGCAAATTCCAGCATGACGTGCCATTTGAATTGGGGAGTGGTAATTTTTTTGGGGGCCATATTGCAAAGAGAGCGAAAACCGATGGGGTTAATACCTTACGGATATGAAAGTCCTGTGAAATTTGGACCGTGGTTTTTAGTTTCTTTGCAGTTTTGTACACAGAAACTTGGGGCGGTTGGGACACCGAGAGACAGGGTATAGGGGTAGTTTCGAAATTTCGTATTTGTAGGGAACCACCGTGTAGATATTTGGCATTTGCTGAGGCAATTTTATGAGATTAATGAAAAATCAGTGCTTTTATTTTAATGATGCTTGTTCCACAAGGGAATAGCCCATAAAGCCGTGTTTTTATTCTAATGGGGGTTAAAAACCTCATGCTTTACCAAGTGATGGGCAATTAAATTTATACATAACTCATACTTAAGTAAAAATATAAATTATATATGAATACGTAAACTTGCAAAATATAATGATATATAGATTAAAAAGTATTAGAACATATTGAAAACATGAGGAACAAACATATGATGGGTGCTCATCTGATATCTAGTAAGTTTCTTACAATTCACTGAAAAGATAAAATCAACAGGAAAGTAATCGATCTTTTGTCTAAGTGAGAGTCGCAACATAAACGGGTGCTAGCTAGGCCTATGCATCTTTTTTTAATTTTCAAATGTTTAGAAATTAATTGGGGTGATGACGAGTTGCCTGACACCTAGACGGTGGTAAACGGGTCTAGGCATTTATTTTTAGAACAATGTGCTTTAGTAGAGGCCCAAATGGATAATGTTGAACCTGAACAATGATGTATCTTTCAAATTTGAACAATGAAGTATTTTTTTTTCTTCAAATTATTGTAGTTACTAATAACTAATGAAGTCATTAGCTAGTCGCTTTTTGAAAGAAAAAAAAAAGAACGCAAGTGGCCCTTCATCACAGTGATGGAGATGAGTGTTGCTTTTGCACCATGGCATGATTCGAACCATATCGGCTCCCTAATCTAACATCTAATCTAACAAATCCATCGTTTGATCAAAAAAAAAAAAAAAAAAAGCATTTTATGCTTAAATGAAGAAACATCTTTATTCCAAATCCCTCTTAAGGCATGATTACTTAAAGGATTGAGTTGCAAGAAAGAGTATTAAGATCATGTCTTCGATAACAATCAAGGAATAACCGAGGGACAGGGTCTGTTTATCTCTTACTTCTTTTATCCTTATTCCTTCTCATATAAACTGATTTATGGCTTCTTCGATTCTAAGTAAACATGCTATTAGAGTGTAGTAATAATCTTCTTCGCTTATGAGTAGGAAGTCTCAATTTAACCCACATAGACAATAAGTTTGATACCTAAATATTATCATTGGGTCCGCTGTGTGGTTTATTTCAAATTCCCTCTTAGAGTCATTGATGTTGAATCAGCAAAATAAAACTGAGAATATTTTGACAAGTTGTATTGACTTTTTAATTGGAGAGGAGAATTTCTTTATTAACTCATGTATGAAAATATGGATAAAGTATATATATTGATTGGTGACAAAAATATGAAATCATTAATTGGTATTCAAACTTTTTCATAATTTTTTAATCCTTGAATGATCAAATAATTGATAACTAATTGTTTTGATGTTACTGTCATCCTCTCAAACATTATTTATTTCGCAGGGAGTCCAAAACACTGAATAAGAACACATTTTAAATCAAATTTTATATTTGATTTATATATATTTTTCCAGTTATACTAATCATAATCCCATAAGTGACATATATAATTGGGACAAAAAACCAGCAAACTTGGGAGACATATAGTTCGAGCTACAGGAGACATTATTGATATTTCCTCCACCTCATTTGTCAACTTGTGGAAAGATACGATATTGGTGTGTGGCAGTTGTGTGGTGCTGAAAAATCAAAGAAAAAATTTGAAATAAGTCCAATTTTATAGGTCATCTTTTGAAATAGGTCCAATTTTTAATGACTTTTGAACTTTTGAAATAGGTTCAATTTTTAGTTACTTTGGACCCATATCAAAAAATCCCAAAATCAAAGCCCTAACTTCACAAGAGAAAAATGGAAACCCTAGTTTTCTCTATGGGCGCACGAACCCAAAAACATGTCTGCCTTACAACTCCCTACCTCTCACCTGACCCACTTATCCAACACAGTCCGTTTCCTGCATCCAAATTAACCAAATTTATTTGGGAAATCCCCAATTCAGAATAAAAGCAGCAGCACTGTGGTTTTCGCAATATCAGAGAAAGAGACTTGTACCAGAAAAAGTTTTGTGGGTGCCTAATATCTTCCATGCAAATTCAGCCATGTGTTGGATTTTAGTTTCTCTTACATTCATCAATCTTAAATGTTTTGTTGGTAAAGATCTAAAATGTTGGGTTCTCCATGATTTTTCAATTTTCATGTATTGGTAGGGTACATGAAACCCTAAGTGAAAGGAAAGTTAGATGCAAGAACAAGATCTCCCTAGGCAATTGCTTAATTCATGATGGGAGTTAAGGGGCTTAATTAGTTAAATGTATTAAGCATGTTGTAAACCCATTAGGACAAATGACAAACTTTGTGTTAATTTCGGTATATCATCTTAATAAGATTATAAAAACAAATTTAATTACGTACTATTGTATGCAACTGCATGTCACAAATTCATAATATATATATATATATATATATATATATATATATATAAAAGCTAATTTTGTAGCTGACGTTGGAATTTCATTAGGACACGAGGCACACATATTTAGCCACAAATAATGGGACGAACTGTGTCTTCGATGTAGAAGGGATTGGTGATGAGATTAAGTAGGTTGGGGGGGGGGGTTCATGTAGTACTTTCTACTCAGGCTTTTGGTTCTTTATGGAGAAAAACTTCGGCATAGCCTAACTTGCCACTGGACCATGCTAGTGACTCTCTCATTCACTCAAAATTGTTCACTTGTTAAAGATTTAAGTTAAGTTATTGCCGGCTGCACTTTTTCAAATGATTTTTTTTTGATAATTTTATTGTGGATACTATATAACGAGAGAGTTCTTTTCAATCTACATTGTAATAGTAATCAAAATGATTTGATGTACACAAAAGGGATTAAGTACAAGAACTGAAATGGTAAGAGTAAAACTGATTGATATGGATGGAAAACTCTCAATCAATCAACATAATTATCAACTAAGAGGACCTAAATCTATGATTCTGTTTGAATCCAATAATTAATTAATGGTTTTTAGAAAAAGATGATGTGAAAGATTATGGCGTCTTTCTTTGATCACAACATTCTCATGTGAGCTTTGTCTCCTTGATTATATATCACAAATGTTGGGTTAGTGACCAATCCCTTTCTACCAAAATAAGGTTATATGCCTCTAAACGCAATTAGTTTGGAATCTTGGAGGTTAAGGAAATGGAAAGGAATTTGAACCGTCCAAATTGTGCTGTGCATGCAGCATTATACGATAGATAAGGATAATCGATCATCATTAATGAATTAAGATCGTAATGAGGGTATGTACGACTAATAACAATGTGATCGATTAACTAAAGTGTGATTAAGAGTCTCCTAATAACCAAGAGCTTCAAAGTGGACATTGAGACCCACTTGCATGTGCCTCTAAACGTACAAAAATGGAGTCCAATTAATTAGCATAAAGTATGCGCGTCACTAGATTTTAAGCTGGTTAGGTTTTTGAATAATATTGGTTGAATTGATATCTTCTTTTTTCATGGCTTTTGAAGAAGGATCGACTTTGTGGTGCATGGTAGTGGTCTGTGGTTGGCACTTGGGTTAGGGTCCATAAAAAGAAAAGTAGAGATTAATTAACGGATTTGTTTAAATTAGTGACTTCCACAAATTATATGAAGTAGGTACTTCAAGTTTGTACGATATAATCTGTCGTGTGGGTGTCTCCAACTATCAAGTAAGTGCAAAGTTTTTATTAATTAAAATGTTCCTAAAGATTGTTTAGAGTGGAGCTAATTTGAAACTAATTAAGTATGTCGAATTAGTGGATAAAACGATTTACATGAAATAGAATACCAAATGTGATTGACCAAATGTTAACACAATAAAAGAAACACTAATGCTAACTTGAACTAGTAAGTACTTTTGCATCAATGAGAATGAAACAAATGATCCCTAGAAGAGTTCCACAACGAGAAATAGAATAATGCTAGGTCAACCAAACTTTTAGACCAAATTTGTAAATTAAGTGTTGTGTCATCAATAATAATTAAATTATCAACATCCACGTTATATGATTACAAAATTAAGTTTGAATATATAGTCTCGTTCGCATTAATATAGGCTTATTTCATCTTCATGCGCGCATACAAATGATCCGCAACATTTACACAACCCTATTGGTAAAGCAACCCTAAACCCTAGCACAAAAACTTCTTTCAACCCTAATAACCTAACATTAGAATTGGGTTTTGTTATGTCCTTTTTCCTTACGATTAACCTTTTGCTTGACATAATGTTTATTTATTTTTCATTGAATTTAGTTTTCCGAGATAAACTTTCATTCGTTTTAATTTATCATCTGTATTGGTTATTTACGGAAGCATTAGTCTATAGTACTTTTTTTAAAAAAGAGTACTATAGTACCATTTCTATTGAAGGATTATTTTCTGTAATGTTATTAATCACCTCCATGCATAACATCCTACCTCGATTTACGTCTATAACGTGACATTATTACAGTAATAACAATGTTATACATGTTATTAACTATAACTTTACCATATATAATTTTATGTTATAAACTTTGACCATTATATATATAATTTCAGGTTGTAAACTTTGACCATTATAGCTTAACCTTACATTTTTTATAATTCAGAAGTTGAACATTAATTAACATTATATTGTAACATTAATAAATGTGAATGTAGAAAAGCCTAAAACTGAATAACGATGATAGATAATTTCGTGACGTTTACTGATAATAACTTAGTCTATAGTGTAACAAGAAGTTCACAGTGTAATAGTCAACGTTGATGGTGTAATAAACAATATCATTTTATAATCTCACACATTTCATAACGTCTACTGATAATAACTTAATCTATAGTGTAACAAGGCATTCATAGTGTAATGGTCAACGTTGATGGTGTAATAAACAATATCATTTTATAATCTCACACATTTCATGGCATATAATGATAATAGCTTATTCTATAGTGTAACAAGACGTTCACAATGTAATGGTCACATTGATGGTGTAATAAACAATATCATTTTATATCTCACACTACAAAAAAAAAAAAATCCCTCTCTAAACGAAAAAAAATTATCAGGCAAAATACGGTTTTGTCACCTTTAAGTTTTCCCCATGGCTGTAGTTGTAAAAAATCAAAATCGGAGCTAAAATAACTGTTAAATAGTGATTTTTCGTTTCTAACTGTCAAAGGATTTTGCCCCGTAACCTCATCCCCCGAAGTCTGTTTTTGGTGATTTTTGGCTTATGCGATCTTGAAGTATTAAAAACAAGTTTGAATGTTGGATTGTTAAAATTAATTTCGCAGACTGTGAAAATCATCGAAGGAATTGGATATGCCAAAATGTACCTCCCCTTGCATGATGAAATTGTATATTTTGCCCTATGAATAGTAAACACTAAACCTTTACCCTAAATCATAAAATATACATTAGCTTGATGATGAAACTTGAACAGTTCTTCGCGTAAAGGATGCCGTATTACGTGCCAAGTTTTTTTGTTGGCGCAAAAACTATACCCAACGAAGGAAACTTTGCCCGTCAAACTAGTTTCATCAAACTAAAGCCTTTAAAGAAATCAAATCGTTGACCAGTTTTGCCTGACGAACGTTTATATTCCATTGGTTAATGTTTATTTGCCTGACGATATTCATTCATCGAGCAAAATTTAGTCAAGCAAATGATAATTTATGATAGTGTCACTATCATTATATATGTGACTTGAACAGTATACTTTTAACTCTAAAGTAACTTTTTTGAAAGAATATCCCAATGTTTCTTTCTGTTTTTCCTATTTCAGGTTATATCATTGACCAAGACAACTAAAACGGGTTTCTCAAATTGGACCTGTACAGTTTATGAATTGCAAATTTGACCAAAATCTTATTCCCAATTAAACTCGGCAAAATATATATCAGCCAACTTTCATCGTGGATTGTTGCATGAACTCCATCTTTATATACTAGTGCAAGATAAGGTGTGTAAACCAAAAGAAAGCCAAAATGAAACAGAATAAATTAAGAGAGATAGAGATTAAAAAAGGGGGAGCCTTGGAGCTCCTTCGAAATCTTTCATTAAATGTCTAATTGAAGAAAAACTCCATACATGTATGATCATATATGCATCATCAATATACGATCACTAACGTTAATAAATCACGGTCAATTAGAGCCACCAATTTTCGACGACATATACATCAATTTATATTACCAATTAATCAAAGGTTTGCAGAATGCTTGAAAAAAAAAATGAAGCAGCTAGCATGCAATAAGCTTCATTTCTGTTGCACATTCTGCAGAAATCAATAAATTTGGTGGATTAGAGATCGAAAAACGACTTCTTCGCAAGGAATAGTTAAACCCATGTCGTGGTTAAATCCAAACTCCTCCTCAGCTCTTTGGAGAAGAGTTTGAAACTCTGGATGCCCCAGCCATGAAATTGGGATGATGTATCTGCTTCTGTTTTCACCAACATACACTGCAAAATGCCCTCTTGGCACATCATCTGGAAGACCACCTTCATTGTTGTACCCATTTTTCTTCCCAAAACTTGAGCATCTTTTCAGAATTTGCTTCAAAGCTGCTGTTTGAGGTAGCTTGTTTGATTTTTTGCTGATAGCCATTGTTGTGTTTGTGTAAAAGGTTTGAATAGTATTGTTTAATAGGTTGAGGGTAGAGAGAGAGAGAGAGAGAGAGAGAGAGAGAGAGAGAGAGAGAGATGAGAGAGGAGGGGAAGTGTGAGAGAAGTTTTGATGGGGAGATTGGACGGATGGAGGGGTATTTATATGGGGAGAGAGTGAATTAGGGAATCGGTTTTGTGAGTAAGCAAGGCCATGTGATATTGTGATATGTGGGGGCAAAGAACAACTCACAAGTCAATTAGGGAAAACAGTGTTCAAGAGGCATGCATGGCTGCTAGCAATCCCATTGGGGCTTGGCCTACCCATGCTTCCCTCATAACGTACACCATGGACCCCCTCTCTCTCTATGTACTAGTTTAGTATCTACTCGTACAAGTACTTCGTTATTCCTATTCACTTTTAAAATCTGTTTGATCACCATTTTATCTTTTGTGTTCTTTTTGTCTCTCTAGATATTTAAGATAGTAGAAAGATAAAAGGAAGGAAGAAGATTGAAGGTAGAGGAAGAAGAAACTGCAATGGAAGTTTACATAAATTGAAAACTAAAACAATATACATGATTTTTCTTTTTTAAGTTTTTGTTTCGTACATTCTCTTTCATCTTTTCATCCTCTAACCCTTCTCCTTCTTCTTTGCACCATATGTCTTCTCTCCATATTTTAACTAAAATATGTAAAAACAAGAAACTAAAATTAAAATGATTATCAAATACAACTATTAGTTTTACTCATGCTATACGTGACGTCCTCTGTATATGTATGAGCTTTGGAGAATTATGAGAATGAGTTTGTTCGAATTTTCCTATCATGAACAGTGTATTGGCCAAAGAAAAATCTATAATGTTTTTATTGATGGAAGGATCTGTCACGCTCAACTCTGTTGTATCCCTCTCAATGTGTTAACCCCGCATATTCTCGCAGTTAGGTTTTGTTTCATATTTACTAATGAAGACAAGAATACTGTATTATTTATATATAAAGTCAAAATTATTGGATGTTTCAAACTTTTATTACATAGAATATACTGTAGCTAAAATCGAAGTTACGTAATGCATGCTTACGTAGCTTTTTTGTTTTTTTTTTAACATATGAATACTAGGGGAGGAGAATTAAATCTAAGACCTTGAGTGTAGAAGCGTAATTTCAAGCGTTTTACCGTAGTGACAAAAAGTAATGATGCCTATGCACCATAGTACGGTTTTGATCCCCACCAATTTTCTTCTTTTAACAACTAAGAATTTAACCTACTAAGCTATCGTTTGTCAGAAAAGAAATTGATCTTGATTAAACTAAAATAGATTGACAGTATGATAACCCAATTAAAGAATTATGAAAGAACATTAATAAATAAAGATCAGTTTCCTCAAATCCATGCCTATATATCCCATATTTTCTAATGACTCAAAAGAGTGTGATGTATGAAAGTGGACTTTACATATTTCATTGTCATGCAGCCTAATATTATACGTAGACCATTTTGCATATCTACCAACAAGGCAAAGAAATTGCGATCTCATTTTGTTTGATAAACCTTTTGGTAGAGTACAATTCTTGGTAAAAAAATTAAGTCACTGTATTTATTTAATCAGAACCTTTATTGAAATGGATCTTTATTTTTTGATAAAAATGGGGACTAGTTGTCAAACTCACTTCACATAGAACTTTCAACTATCCGAATCTATTTTTCAAGTTGCGCTTTATAAATCATCTTTGCAAAATATTAGTCAAATAAAAAATGTTTGAGACATCTAATTGACTTCAAAAAAATTGACGAACACTATGTTCTAAGAAACATTAAAATTTCATCATAATGATCATTGAGTACATGATTTTGGATGAAATTAATTTTTTACAAGAATTATCTATAAATGAAGACTTAAAAAATAAACAGGTCGAATCATTGAAACCCCGCAACAAAAAATGGGCATCCTTTAGATAAACACTCTGTTTATTTAATAGATGGCACTATGCATAATGCGTTAGTCTTCCTCTAAACCACACCGTCTAAACTTAACAAGATTTGCCAACTTATTACCTATCCTGACAACTTTCATTCTGTGCTTTACGACTACAAAAATAATTAAAAATAAATATCCCAAAATATAAGATTTGTAAGGTTGTAAAAAGAAACTAAATAGTTAATTCGACTAATAACTATCAACTATTAATCAAATAAGGACGCTTCTTAAAATTCGTTTGGAGTATTTTTAAAATGATTGAAGTGTTTTTGGGTTTCAAAATCATTTGAAGTATGTGTTTTTGGTGCTTTTTGCAGTATGTGTTTCTTACGGAAAGCATTTTAAGTATATTTTTTCAAAATTCACTTATATTTTTACTAATAGGTTCGTTCTAAAATTGGTTTCAGTTGTTTTAAAATCACACACAAACAAGGAGTAAGCATTAACCTAAACTAGTTACGTAGTGATTATAACTACTAAGAATAAAGGGCAAAATTTTCGTTTTTTAGTACAATTAGAGCAGATAATGGTTGGTTGCAGTACAACCATATATAATAACCCAGCTAGCTAAAACAAATATAAAATCTTTCAAGGACAAAAGGTTGGAAGATTTTTTGGTTGGCAAGTGCAATAGAATTTTTTTATTTTTATTTTTTCCCAAAAGGTGGTCCAAAATCTAAATAATGGTGGATTTACTTTGTTCTTCTTAGGTACCAAGTAAAGACACATGTAATTACTCAATTGGATACAAGGCCGTAAGATATAAAAGGTTGTATTAGGTTTAAAGTTTAAACAGGTTGACTATGTGCAATTGTATATTCTGCAACCATATATATGCATAAGTATATTTTCGGACGTAAAGCGTCTAAATTTACAACTCATCTCATATTCACAATTTTCACCACTAAATCAACAACCATACTTCAATTTATCCTTCGTGAACAGTCTATGAATGAATGTTTATACACAACGGTTTAAGGACAAATTGCCCCAACAAGTGAGGGGAATGGTTACAAAGCCTTTTGTTTAAGATTCAAGGTGTGCCATGAGAAATGATATATGGTTTCTAACTAGTTACATAAAATATTAAGTGTCATCGAGATATAACCTTATATTACTACAACACTCACCACGTGACTGAGTGCTACAAGGATTCACACATATGTAAGGATCTCCTCGACCTCCTCTATAGGGGACCAAATGAACACATATTTGTCTCACCGTTTTTTCTATGCTTGTCATGTACACAAAGTAACAGAAATAGCAAGATACCAAACATCCATATGCCCAACAGGTCAAGGGCAACCTTCCCTCGACATCCTCCTTAGGTCAGCCCAGTTGCCCTACGCCGTAAAAACGGGGAGCAAACTTCTCACAGTCACACATTTTTGGTGTTGCTTGCTGCCTTGTGGAACTGAAACTCATTGACAACCACACAATTAAAACACAAAAATAAAAATATATATATAAATTTTGAACTTTGCAGATGAGTTCATAAATACATGAATTTTGTGAAAGATAATTTGTAAGGAGCACATGTTCAATTTGAGTTCCATATGCTGCATTGAGTTCCGGAAATGTCTCGCCATTTAAGTCTGCCCATGTTACCTTCTTGATAAAACCAAAAACCAGACCATACATATGTAGAAGGAGCTGCTAAGTTAAAGACATATATTCCTCATAAAATGAGCACCACTTGTTACAGCAGTACTAGTCTCTCTCTCTCTCTCTCTCTCTCTGTGACTCGCTATTGAGAGAATTTAATTAACCCATGTTCTAAGGCTCAAAAATTCCACTCGTGGAGCTTCTAGCTAGGGCAGCAGCAGCCGGTATATATGGCCATCTGTCTTGTTTTTAATTTCTTCACTTTTTTTCTTTGTATTATTTCACATTCCCAATGATTACCCTAAATTTGTTTACATACATACATATGTACAAAGACACAATGTTTCATATCCATGCAAGATTGTCCATATACGTATATGTACGGGGTGATAATTTTGGAAACGACACGACAATCTAAATAAAAAAAGACATGAAATAATCGGGCTTATGCTGATCATAATCGTGCCAAATGGTCTATCGAGTCAATCTGCCTAACTAAGAAATAACACACTTTAACATGTTTATGTAATTGTGTAACTCGTTAACACATATGTGATCCACATAGCTTGTAATATAAACCATGTTTACGGGCCCTTTTTTTTGGTAGTGTGTTGAATTCATGTCAACAAGTCCTGATATGATGTGAATACGAATTGCAACGCTTTCACGTGCAACATTCAAACTCTAAATAAGCCCGTTATTCTCCCGAGTGTTCATATGTCTACATATGCGGCTACCCATGTTGTGGATATGAATATGGATAGAGAGTTCAGAATTGAATACTGGAAGCACCACAGACCATATCATCGTAACTGAAGGCAGGACCATGATTGCCAATTGCCATTCAACAGAGAGAGAGAGAGAACCTCGTGTTACAGTAGAAGTTCAAAACCTATTAATTTATCGACATGTGAATGCCGTGTTACTCTTGTCTTTAAGAAACCTCAGAGAGACAAAAACAGATATGGCGGCTTTGATGACACCATCTTTAAAGAACTTGGTGTGAGAGGAAAAGAACACAGAGAAATTGAACAGTATATGCACATTGCCCTGCAAATCACTGTATCGAAAGTCAGAATTCTCTGCATTTGAATTCAGAGTTCCACTCGAACACTTGATTAAGCCGATTACATTATTGTCGCTGCATCAGCAGAAGTTAATGAACAGATTAATGCTGTTTGAAATGACTAAAATGCTTGTTGTAACAGTAACTAAAATGTGTAAAATGACTGGATTCGGTTCGAATCATGTATTCAACTTTTAGTTGAGAGCTTATCTTGAACCTCTTGCATTCAGCGAAAGTAAACTCTGCTTGTAAGACCGAAAAACATCAAAATTACTAGGACAAAATGTTGAATTGTAAGTTGTGAGCTGATAATAGTAGTAAATAAGTTTTGATTTTAAATGGTGTATTCACTTGTGTAAAAGAATGACTAGTGTAAGACTCAAATATGTAAGGCCATGGGTGCTATGTGTCTTTTGATCCTAGTTATTAGCTAGATGAGTGGCTGTGATCAAACTCAAGAGAGATA